AATTGAAAAGCCTATTTTTGAGCCTTTTGCGATATTTTTATAACAATAAAATATTATTATTATATTATATACATTAAGAAAATGCATATATAAATTATTATTATTATTTAAATTATGTAAAGTAGTGTTGTCATTGGACAAATAATTACATTCTTTCTTGTAAATAAATAAAATTTTAATAAAGAAGGGAAATAATTATACAAAACTCAGAAGTTACATTTTACATTGCAATAATGAGAATTTGGGAAAATTGTGCTTAATTTGCATTATGATAATGAGAATTTGGAGAAAAAAAAGTGCTTAATTGTCATGAAAATAATCAATCTCAATGCAAAACATCTTAATGGTTGTGAAAAAGCAAGCTTCATTTTCTTTATGCAAAATACAGTTTCTTTTTTTCCTTTCTTTTTGAGGAGAAATATGACCTGGCCGCTTTTTTTTTGAGATTCACCCAAATGGAGTTTGTCCGTGATGAGGGCTATCGGAGGTGTTCGGTGTCCTTTTTGTAGGAGGCTTTAGTACAGCCCAGCATCTTAATGAATGTGAGTGAAGGAAATGACCGTCCCGATGAGAGAGCGAGTGTTAGATTTCCGCTCCTCCAGCGCGTGTGTGGGGGTTTATGCTGATCGCTGATCAGGGACGCCCTGAAATCATCGCCCGTCTGTGGGGGAAGAGAGCTCAGCGTGAGGGGCTTAAACCAGAGACCCCTTCAATCAGCCCCACTCCAGACGGGACGGGGATTAAAACCCTCTCTCAGGATTGGTGCAGGGGTCAGGAAGAAAAATAAGGTCACATTTATTATCTTCCTACCACTTATTTTAAGAAATCTCTGCTTTGAGTGAACCAGATTGCATAGTTTAAACTGAATTGGTAATGGGCTGGGGGAAAACATGGAGGAGAAAGAAAATGTGAAAAAGAATTACAAGTTGGAATGAAATAAACTTCAGTCAGGATAGACGGCACATTTTATAAAATGAGCTGCATGAAAATGAACCAGTGATGGATGGATGTACGGTCTTATATGTCATACCGTTTTAAGCAGATTTTTATGGAAATTTTCCACTGGAAATGTTTTGGAAAGTCATGATCTCAGAACTCAGACATTTTTCTCACAATTTTGACTTTATTTCATAATTCTTGCTTTTTTTCTCACAATTTTGACTTTATTTCATAATTCTTGCTTTTTTTTCTCACAATTGTGAGTTTATATCTCATAATTTGACTTGTTCTCACAACTGCGAGTTTATATCTCATAATTCTCGCTTTTTCTCACAACTGCGAGTTTATATCTCCTAATTCTCGCTATTTTCTCTCAATTGTGAGTTTAAATCTCATAATTCAGACTTTTTCTCAACTGCGAGTTATATCTCATAATTCTTGCTTTTTTTTCTTGCAATTGTGAGTTTGTCATAATTCTAGCTTTTTTCTCACAATTTTGACTATATCTCATAATTCAGACTTTCTCGCAACTGAGTTTATAACATAATTCTCGATTTTTCTCACAACTGCGAGTTTATATCTCATAATTCTCGCTTTTTTTTCTCGCAATTTTGACTTTATATCTCATAATTCAGACTTTCTCGCAATTGTGAGTTTATAACATAATTCTCGCTTTTTTTCTCGCAACTGTGAGTTTATATCTCAATTCTCGTTTTTTTCTTGCAATTGTGAGTTTATATCTCATAATTCTCGCTTTTTCTCACAACTGCGAGTTATATCTCATTCTCGCAACTGAGTTTATATCTCATAATTCTCGCTTTTTTTCTTGCAATTGTGATTTTATATCTCATAATTCTCGCTTTTTCTTGCAATTGTTTATCTCATAATTCTCACGTTTTTCTCACTATTGTGAGTTTATATCTCATAATTCTCGCTTTTTTCACAACTACGAGTTTATATCTCACAATTCTCGCTTTTTTTCTCGCAATTGAGTTTATATCTCACAATCCTGACTTTCTTTCTCACAATTGTTTAAATCTCGCAGTTGTGAAATTTTTCTCAGAATTGCGAGTTTATACATCATAATTCTGAATAAATTCTCAATTCTGAAAAAAAGTCTGAATTGTAAGATAAGTCACAATTAGCTTTTTTACATTTGTATTCCACATTGGAAATAAGCTTCCATACATTTGAAGAGTTTAGTTTTAGTGCAAGGGAAAAACCCATTTCTTTTATAGTCCAATCCACACCCAGTACACAACAATGCATCATGGTGAACATGAACATCTGTCTCTCATGGACTTGTTTTTATTCATTTACCCTGACTATGGATTATTGCATTGTGACATTTACAGATAGTCAGTCTGTACTGTCTTTATCTGTTTATGTATGTACTTGCATATCTCAGACATGTTGTGTGTTTTCACCTGCATTCATTTGTTCTCCATCACGGCCACCCTCTGGATTTATTCATGCTGATTAGCAGATTATGTGTCTCTGGAGATGCAGCATTAACAAACTGACAAATGGCGCCTCGATGGGGGATCATTACCTACACAAACACACAAACACACACACTCCACCACATGTGCTTGTGCTTCCTCACGGGACTCAGGGATGCAACAATTATGCAGCAGAATCCTTTAGCGCTGCGGAATAAAATACTCACAGTGCTCATAAAATTAGACAGCATGCTGAATGATTTAGGGTTTTAAAGAAAAGAAGTGAACGTTTTATAAACTAATATTGTCCTTTAAATATTTTATATTTATTGAATGTAAAAAAATATATAAAAATTACATTATAAATATGCATTTTTTAAAAATTATTTTGTTACATTATATATTTTACATATTTATATATTCTCTCTCTCTCTCTCTCTCTCTCTCTCTCTCT